ACTAGCGCGCCTTTATTCGTGTGTAGTGACGATATACAGCGACTTAAACAAGTGGCCACGTGTTGATTTTTGACGTAGAATACGTCTTACGTTTCGATATTGAGGCTATGCTCAAATGTTGTAGTTGTAATTTTTAGAGCTTCACGAAAGCGCTTATTGTTCGAGAAACAATGAAGCGATTTTAAAGGAAAGTATGGCGTTTCAAAGATAAAATTCCAAACCTATCGAAAGGTTAATTTTTGTTAGCAACCAATTCGGTTTCTGTCGTAGAAACAACGGTGAATATTGGCCTATTTTTGGGTCAAGTTTGAGTCTTCAAAGTGCTCTGGCAATTTATGATTTACAGATATAACTTTCATTTTCGGGATATAGGTTCTCTGGAGCAATGGAAATATTATCGTATAAATTCAACAAATATTGAACATTAGTTATTACCAAAATTCTCGAAAACCGCTCGAATGATTTTTTTTTGTTTTCTTTAATCAAAAATTTAAGTTTATTCCTTTTGTTTGGTATATGGGAAGTATTGGTTGATATTTTCTAAGTATGTTTATTTTATTTAAATATATGGGCATACATGATTTTCCATACAAAATCACTTCGTCATCATTTTGCAAACACATGATTCCGCTTGAAGTGAGAGAAGAAGACAAAAAGTATATGTGTGTAGGTATTTCGGCTTTTGAGTAACAGATGGCGCAATATTTATAAGCAATCGCAGCGTATGTATGTTGATTGTGGTTAGTATGGATATGTTTTTCTTCCTTCAACAGTCTACGTACATATGTATGTATGTACTAGGGATGTTGCGAATGTGGAATTTTAAACATCCGCCGATGCGAATGCGGATGCAGATGCGAATGCGCATGCCAAGAATTTTTAAGAAATAATTTAGGTGAGTAAGTTAGTTGATTTAGTCAAATAAAAAATGGAAAGGTAAGTAATTTTTAATAATGCTTTTTTAATACTTGTAATAATTTTAATAATTTAAAAATTGGAAAATTGTATTTAATAAAAATGTTTTAAAGGGTCGTAAATCAAACCACTCGCTCGAGGCGACAAACTTGAAACTTGAAAAAATTGTAAATTCATTTCGAATGATGCTGCACCAGTCGAGAGGACTTTCAGTTAAGTATTTTTTTTTTTTATTGCGGTGCAATAATTCCTTTTTGAGAATTGCATCGCGGCTGCAAATGTCGGATTTATCCTCCTGACTTTCATCTTCACAATCTAGCATCATGGCAAGATGGTTGTTTTAACACCGTTGTTTTCCAAAGAATTCTTCATTCTCATTCTTTTGGTTGTTTCTGAATTTAGAGAACTTGTAACGTCAAAAGCGTTTTTCGTTTTAAGTTTTTGTAATTCATTTTTAATCCTTTGTTCTGTGACTGGCCAGATATACGTTTTATCAGTGCACTTGCACAATATTCCAAAAACCGAAAGTAACAGTTATTTTTTACGAGTTAAACTTGGCCTAATATTTTTTTTCCGAAATAAAAGTACTTTCCAGATAATAAACAAACAACTTATCAAAATTTAAGAAATTTGGTATCATATGGAGAGGACTGAAATAGCTTTTAAACAGAAACGAACGAAGGTTACCGCCTCTATTTATATATATCGCTAGCTTAGAAAGAAAAGTTGCTAAGTCCCATTTTAAAAATTTTACTGGAGAGGAAAAAATCTTCCTATAGCCATTTTCTTTAACTATTTCGCAAGACTTTGAATCAAACATTTTGCGCCTTTAAAGCAAAGCAAAACTCCATAAGAATCAGAAGGATTCGATATTTATTAAAAGATGTCGTATTATTTTGGCCTTATCGGATTTGTGGTGCTTCTTTTCCTTTTATTGCTTATGAAGAGGAAAAAATAAAACAAGTACCTTTATAATTTTCGAAACGATGCGTATTCAATTTCTCTATCCTCCTATATCAAAATATGAGTTTTCATAAAAAGTGGACTTAGCAACTTCCCTGCAGGGAAAGCTACCAGTTGTGAACCAGAATGCTACCAGTTTGCGTTTCAGCCCAACTAGTTCACGTTGTATCCTTTTTCAATGTTAGCGACTGGTATTTTTAACATGGCGGTGTCATAGGAGATGTCAATTGTCCGTTCCTGCATCAGCACGCTACCAGTAGAAATACTAGTAGCATCATACTAGTTGACGGGATAGACTGCCTATTCATCCCCCGTGAAAAGCATAAGTATGTCATTTTGCTCGCGGCGGTGCAACCGTGACAATAGTCGACAGAGTAAAGCTTTGCCACGCCAAATCAAGAGATCCGAGTTCTAATCTCAGTGAGCGAATCTTTTTTAATTTTTAATTGTTTTTTATTTCTTTATTTATATCTCTTGTGTAATTTTTAAATTTATTGTTTTAAAAAGAACAAAAAATTATTTATTTTCATTTTTTATAGTTTTTTTCCAAATCAAACTAAAATTATGTGTAATTTTTATTTTATATTTAAATTGAAATTTTAATTGAATTTTAATTCAAATAATTATTTAAATTTACTTACTTACTTTACTTTATAGCAATCTCCACGCGCACTCGAACCTGAGATCTCAGAACCAGAATCGGTAGTCTTCACTCGACGCCACAGCCGACATTTGTGATGGAAGCAATTAACCACGTTTTAGTTTTGGTTATGCCTATTCGCTGATCGCATAAGTTGTTCGAAATCGCCGAAATGGTAGGCCGTCGCTTTAGCACATACTGGTATAATTATGGTTCATAACGAACTGGTATGATTTTTATCCTTAAATAATAGTTCATGAACTGGAATTTGTCCATACTGGTTTAGCTTTTCACTGCAGGGGATTTTTTCGCTCTTTTTTAAACTAATTTGAAATTTTAAAAATTACCTACACATCAGCATCAAAATACCTTTCTAATGATATATAATTGTTTATACCTTAGAAGTATAGTTTAGCCGTAAAAAGGGTGTAAAGGAAACATGATTGCCTATTTATATAATTGATATATAACCTGTTATGTAAAAAATCAAAAACCATGGTTTTTATATTTATATATGCCTTAGACATATGTTACATACACTTTTGCTTTATTTTTAACAGGGCTGTGGGTAAACAAGAACGAATTAACGCTAAAACATTATTAATTATTTGTTTTCGTTAAATATGGTATTCAATTGTATTTTTAATTAATAATTATTTTGTAAAGTTTTTTTTTTATAAAAAAAAAAATTGGTATTTTTGCCTTTTAGTGTTTTTCTCAAATGTTTATATACGAAGTGTACAAATATGCATATTAGATGAAAAGGCGTTTAATCGCCATAACAACGATGCCAATTTTTTAAAAATTTATGAGTAATTTTTTTGTTTAAAATATTTTTTTTGTAAAAAAAGTTATTTCTTCCTTTTAAGTGTTTTTTCTCAAATTTTTATTCACGGAGTATACAAATATGCATATCAGAAGAAAGAGGGTTTAATCGGCTTTACAACGATACGAAAGAATCGGTTATTATTTTTTTTTTTTTTATTTTTTTATACAAAGGAACTTTTTCCTGTAAATGTGTTTTTTCAACAATTTTTATCTACGAAGTATACAAATTTTCATATCACAAGAAAGGGGGTTAAATCGCCTTTACAGCGATATGAATATTTTATAAATCAGTTCCAAATTTTCTGAAATATTAAGTTTTTAATTTTTCGAAGAACTGAGCTTTGACCCGTTATAGCACCTGTAATATAAGTTTTCATAAAAAAGGTTATATACCATATAAATAAGAGCAAACAGCGGAGCACGTCTGTGTTTTTCCTTTTTTTTGCTTTTTACATGCAATAATTAAAAATAATTTTTTACCAAAGGCCCAAATTCGAACTTCGAAGGCCCATATCTCGATTTCGGATGCTAGCTTCGAAAAACGAAGAAATTACTTTTTTACTTATGACTCAATCTCTTAAGAAAAGTTGGTTTGGTCCAATACCCAGCCGAGTGCTGTACAGTGTAATTATTAATATTTTGCAATTCATATTGATTTATTAAATTTAATTCAATACGACCAAAACGAATATTTCATGTACCGATTTTAACTTGAGTGTGATCTTAATGATATCACGTATTCTACGTTTAAGTTTAGCGGCTGTGGCGAAGGCGCTGGACTGATCCTTTTTAATATTCACATTGTTTTTCAAGTGAAATTTTTTTGTAATTTTTCTATAAAAATATTGTCCAAGCTTAAACCAAAACCACATAAATAGTTTCAAACTTTATACAAAATTTTGGGAAATTCACCAAAATTTAAAACTTTTTAATCTGAATCTTTAAAGTTTTTTTTTAAAGCGCGTATAATTTTAGTTTTATGAAGTGCAAGTTTTAGCCGGCTAAAAAGTCGCGTTGATTTTGAATATTATTGTTTTTTTGTGACGGCTTTTTGCGGTGCAATTTATAAAAACTGGCGTTGATTTTTTTATTAATTTTGTTGCGAACGGTGTCTAGCATTTGATTTTATAACAAATTCAGGCTTATATGGAAAAAAATGGAAAAATCCGTCAGCAATAAAAAATTATTAAAAACAACGCGATTTTTCAGCTGCTTTAAACTTGCATTTCGTTCTACTAAAATTATACGGGATATTAAACTCCATATTGATTCGGAATAAATAGTTTGAAATTTTGATGAAAATAACGAAACAAATTTAATTTGAAAAACATTGTGAATATTAAAAAAAAGGTGGTCACTTGTTTGAGTCACTATATCTATGAATATTGGACCTTTGCAATATTATCATATTACCAAAACGCACAATTTCATAACACAAAACAAAAAACGCTCGATGTAAGCTGTTGGAAAATTACACTTGATTCGTACTTGTTGCTTCATTAGAGCATGACTAAGTATTAATAAGATAATACTGCCGACAATTACAACTATTAGCTATAATTATTATAATTGAATTCTCATAGCAAGAATCTTGTGATATTTTAAAATTATTTTATTTAAATATGTATGGGTAATCTCTTCACTGCTTTCTCACTATTGTTTAGACTTCGTATTTGAAAATGTCGATGTTTCCTTCAATTGTTTTGATTTATTTGTTTTAATTAAATCATACTATGTATGTGAAGTGAAATCTCCCGCGCAAGTAGTGTACCCGCCAAACTTCCCGTCTCACTGAACGCGATCGAACGCATTTTCTGATTCCTCGTACAAAAGTGCATACACGCTTGGAAGCAATTGTCACGATATGCCTACACTTTTTACTTTCAATTTTGAATACAATCTTAATAAAGTGAGTATAAAAATGAAAAAATAAATGAATGCAAAAGAAGACGTTTTATAATTCGTGAAAAAATGGTATTTATTAGTACACAAAATAACAACAAATGCAAGATAATCAATGTTGATGGTAAACAAGCATTGTGCACTAACAAAATATGTATGTACATAACCTTTCCATACGATTGCATGTTTCTATGTGTTCTCATATTTACTTACCATTTTGATAAGAATTATAGATATTGCAAAGAAATTTCAAATATATACATATGTGCATAAGTACATATGTATTTCACAATCAGTAAAGAATTATTAAATATACTTATGCACTGTGAAAAATTCCCGCTGACTATAATTATTTTGAGTTTTGTATGTAACCGATCCAATGTAATTTGCTTAGGACATGTACTATGGTTTTGAATGTTTCTAACAACTTTTTTGGCTTATTATTTCGTTAAGCTCCAAAATTTAAAAAAATGCCCGTGGTCTAAAAAGTCGATGTTTTATTTGGTAATCAACTCCTAAGTAAAACTCATTTGAATGAGTATACACCCTTATTCTAGAACTCGAATTTTCGTAATTCGTAATTCGTAGCTACGTTACGAAAAACAAAAAATCGACATACTGCAACCCTTGCGGAAAGGAATTAAAAAACACTCATCAAGTGCTTATTTATAGTAAAATTGTTTGATGAAATGAATTCACAAAGCTATGCGGAGCTGTCTGGCATAGTAACCAAGGACGCGTCTACATACATATGTATGCCAGCTTCTGGTTGAATTGTTGAACCACAAGCCTTAACTCCTGTTATGCCTGAAGAACTGGTTCTCAATCCAGTTAATGCAATAGCCATTTAAAATATCGTCGTTTAAAATACAAAACCGCGTATCAACAAAATACAAAACCGCGTAAGTGAGGTTGCATAAATTATTTTCTAGAGATTGAAAACACTCGTATTTCAAAATGGTTCTCTTTTTTTATAAAACAATCGCATTTCTGGCTAGTATATTTCAGGACGAATGGATAAGGATTGTCAAATACGCGGTTTTGCAGAATGACGCTTTTGTTAGAATGAATGATTTTGTTAGGTTCAATGCATTTTGGAGGCAATTTTTAAATTTTGTGAAGAGAGAAGATATTCGTTTAACGAAACTACGCTAAAAAAAAACTGTAGCTGATTGTACGAGGGATTGTATCTTCAACATGAGAAACTCTAAATAAGATGACTACCAGGAGAATGTTGTAAGAGTAAAGAAGTTCGCAAAGATGGAAGGCCACGATTTACATTTAGCCCGTTCCGGATTCTATACACTACATTGCGCTTGGTCGAAATCCGGGTCTGAGAATAATCCGTTGAATACCACTCGTCTTTCAAAAGTAATCAGATATTTTCACCATGTTTGCTGCCTAGGAATGTTTGAAAAAAATTTTGCGGGGTTAACATGCGGAACACAAAGTACCAAGTAATGGAAAAATATTCTACGAAATGTGTGATGTTATGTGCTGCTTTCACAAAATATCGGAAAAAATATGCCAAACAAAATGCTGCTCCAAGGCTAATAAATCTAGAATCATTGATAAAGGTTTTTTTCTTGTGGTAAAATATTAGCGAAATTATTTTTAGTCCCGTATTTGGCTGCTATAATTATGGTCACCGTACTTATAAGGCATATCTTCCTAAGTAAAAATAATTGTAATTCATACGATACGCAATTTACTGATTACCTAATATCAACAAGAAGAACATACTCGAGGTTCCTGATAAGACTGCTAAGAGGGCATTTTTCGCTAATAGTGGCTGTTCAATTAAAAGTAACATCCATTTAAGAGAATGGCTAAGTGAGAGCCTGTAAGTTACGTTGAGTTGAAATAATCAGACCATAATCAGTGTTGCCGTTGATAACTTTCAGAAAGTCGCATAAAAGGGGTCATTACATAAAACAGGGTTGCAAATATACACACAAATCTAGTTGCTGCTAGGAGAAGAGTTGCATTTCCTTTAAACGTTTTAAGTGATGCATCTTTTAGTAGTTTTAGGAGGAAATATTTTTTAATAGCATTGTTCTGTTAACATTTCCTAAAAAAATCTCTGAAAGGGGGAAAAAGTCGCACATAATTTTGGAAAAAGGTCAAAATATCAAAATTTTCAAAAAGTCGGGTCAAAGGGTATTGGCGCTTAAAAAGGGTCAAATTACCCCTTTAGTCGCACAACGGCAACACTGACCATAATAAACGGCAAAAAATGTAGGAAATGTAAATATCACGGGGAAACCGTAGAGCATATAACTTACGCGTATCCAGCCTGCGGCTGGCAGACTCGCGCTGAAGAGCCTACAAGCAGCAATCGACAAAGTGTCTATTAAAAGTCGCTAAAGGAATGACAATTTTCTTTAACATTGTGTGAAAGCATTTATTCATAGGTCGTAAACGTATCTGGCAACGCAATGGACGTTATATTCGTCTATGTGTACCTCTTATGGTCAGCCAGCACAACCTAACCTAACCTAGAATGTTTCCAATAAATAATACCTATTAAAAATATAAGACGTACATATGTATATAGTTAGTTAATTCTTTTTGATCTTACTTATTTATATCATACAATATCTAATCGCACGTTTAATAATATGTATAACGAAGTATTTCAAAATTTAAGTTTTATGGGAAAACGCATTTCGCCATATTTGGGAAGTTTGGTTATCTGTTAGACTGAAAATATACTGCTTATTAAGCTTATTCAAATCATAATGAAATCTCCAAAAACCAAAATATTGAGTTACATCTCTATATTATGAAATGTGCGTTATGATCATTATATCATGCTCTTCATCAAAAGTGTGTAAATGCGTCACTACAATTTAAAAAAATTGAAGAAAAACTTATTGAATTTTTTCGGGTTTAGATACCGCAATAAGCGCACTTTATTATTTTCGAAAGCAAATCAAAGCAGATCGAAATTTATAGTAAATCTGCTACGACCGCAAGAAAGTTTCAACACTGGTTTACAAAAAAAAAGTTTCTGCATATTGAACCAAACCTGTATATTCCTATGCAAATCCTAGGGCTGGTAGCCTGCAGCACGTCAGGTTCGAGGTCGTTTGAAGGTCAAGAAGTGAAAAATTCATTGAATAAACCTAAAAATCCTATACAATTCTTCTGAATTCGACCTTGGTATGGCATGACATCTAGGTGACTTTGAAGAATCAAGGGACCCCCATATTCGGATTTAGCGACAACAAAAACAAAATTTTTATTTTCATTTCTATTGAATAAATTCTTTGTCCTATTTGACTCTGAAATGACCTCGAAGCTGACATTATTGAGGTAAACGGTCCTCGAATTCGGGTTCAGCGAGTCTAAAACCCCATATATATGAATTTTCAGATTTAATCAATGAATTTTCCAAATGACCTTGAACCTCACGTGATGGGGGCTAACAGACCTCGGATTCGCATTCGGAGGTTTGGCTCAATATGCAGAACCTTTTTTTGGAAATTTGTCTAATTAAACACAATTCTGAGAGTAGTGTAAACAAATTCTTTCTCGCTTTTAGCCCATGTATTTATTGTAAATTGCCTCAAAAGGGAAAAATCGCTCCATGTGGCATTACTGTCACCAAATTTAATAAAGAGTCTAAGTAAGATATTGAAAATCTCCAAAATCAGACAAAAATCGAAATACGGAATAACAACAAAGTTCAAATACGAGCACGGTATACATATGTATACTAAGTAGTATACGCTTGGCGCATAAAGGCGAACCTCCATAGTATGCGTATACGTATGCGTACGTCCCACCAAAAAATACGATTACTACAGAAATGAAAAGGGAATCGAATTAGACGATGGGAATCGCTTTAAATTAAACAAATCAAAACATGATTTTTATGCGATGGAATTTTCCACGGAAAGTAACGGTAGAAAGAAACTTTCGGTATTCATTCTATTTTCCAGCTGACTATGGTGAAGCATTCTATTTTGGATTCCCCGTAATGAATCAAAGCAGCGAAATTAGGGATGTCAGTGGCAAAAATACATCGATGTTATTCCTCGCATCGATGCATCGAAACTTACATCGATATTTGTCGATGCATCGGAGGGCGTACATCGATGCATCGATACGCATAGAGTTTTCCTCCACTATGGAAATAAAACATTAAGAACCTTTTTCGGTATGTACTAGTTTTATAGCTCATACAATTTTAGTATAACAAAGCGCAAGTCAGCCAAAAAAAAAAAATATTAAAAATTAAAGCAATTGAAACTTGCACTTTATTATACTAACATTTTATGAGCTATAAAACTGCATCTTCCTATCTATGAACTTCAGACAAAGCGATGTTCGGCCATTCGATGTACTTGAGATGTCAGTTTACAGAAAACATCGATGCATCGACGCCTCGATGCATCGACTATTTATACATCGAGTGGAAAATTTTCGATGCATCGAAGCGATACATCGATATTTTCGACATTTTTTCGGCATCCCTAAGCGAAATTAATAAAATATTGTAGAACTTTCTGCTATGCATTACCGGCAACGTCTAAATGAAGCGAAACAATTAGAAGACATTATAAGGCTATGCGTTCCAGAAGACATTACCACTAAAAGCGATTACCGATTTTTTGCTGGGGTTTAACATAAATGTATGTATGTGAGTATGTTGTAGAAATTCTTATGGCAACACCTATGTGTGTACATAGCAACGCAATGTAATGAAAATTTAAGAAATTCGTCTGAATTTTTTACTTCCATGCTTAAGAAACTTATTTTCTTCAAAACTTTTGAATGGTTTTCTAAATTTGAGCTTCTGCTATGTATAAATAGTAAATTTGTGAAGTAGGCAAGCATTGAGGCACACAGTGCGGCCGAAATCCAAAAGTGCAGCCAAAACTCGAAGCTTTAAAGAAATGATTAGGGCGGTT